AATATTTAGCATATTATCATATAATAATGTATATAACAATATTTTATTATATCTCAATTATTAGTATAATCTATACTTGTTTATTTCTTAAATAGAAACATATAATAAAATCTATACAAGGAAGGAATCTGTCTTAAGATTGTTGGAAAATATATGTTTCATGTGACATTTAAGATATAACAAACCTTATACTAATATGTCATGAGATAATTAACAATATGCTAAGAAATCATTAATTAAATATGCAACTCTATATTTAATTAAATATGCAAAATAAAGCAATAAAATAATAATAATAAATAAAGAACCTGGACCGAGGCTAGTATTAGATATTATATCCTTAAGACAGATTCGTCTCGCTATGGTGCTAACGGACTCAGTGGCGTCTATCTCCCAGGATACAACAGTCTACATCCACCAGTAGCAGCACTACAAACTCGTGGATACAGCGAACCTCCTCCGTGTAATACTCTCTCTGACTAAAAAATGCATCTATACTATATAAATGCTGAATTGGGTGTAATCCAAACCAAATGGTTCGGACCAATCTTAATATGACTCGATGAAATTGGATTAGGGTCTAAGTGACTCGAACCACTTAACCTATGGTTTGAACCCACTTTGGTTGGGTTCAAGTCTAGAGAGGGAGTTAGAAGAAAATGAAAATGAATGATTTGCAAATGATCCAAATGGGGGTATTTATAGGCAACAAGGTGCCTTTTCGGGTGGGTGCAACCCTTTGAAAAAAACTAAAAAGTAGTTTTTAAGTAAGGTGCCTTTTTGGATTGGGTGTAACCCTTTGAAAAAAAAACTAAAAAGTAGTTTTTTAAGTAAGGTACCTTTTCGAATTGGGTGTGTCTCTTCATCATTGGACACAACCATTTATACGTGTCTCTTCACACTGGACACACCCACTCCAATTGGTTGCAATGGTTTAGTTGGTGTCTGTTCATCAATAGACACATCCATTCCAATAGGTTGCAATGGTTCACATGGTGTCTGTTCACCAATAGACACATCCATTCCCATATGTTGCAACCCTTTAGAAACAGATGCAACTATTTGGAAAATAGATGCAACCCTTTGGAAATAGATACAACCCTTTGATTAAAAAACTAACTTTTAATTTAAATTCAAAAACCAACCACCCATTTAAATAAGCCCAGCCCAAAAATAAAGGCCCAATCCAAAATTTCATTTAGTAAAAAGAATAATCGGACTTTACAATTAGGCCCAAGCTTAAGCCCAAGCCCAAGCCCAAGCCCAAAATTTAGCTTATTTAAATTTCAATTGGTTTCAACATTTTTTCCATGTGGGATAAACACTTCCCACATTTTCCTTACCCATTTAGGCTAATCAAAACACCACACTTTGGAGCTAATTCTCATTCACCCGGAAACGGATTTGAGAAAGTAAATATACCACGTTAATACCTTGCGGAGAGAAACACGCTTGTCTAGAGATCCGTAAAAAAATTATTAGCGGAACTTATTCCAAACCTCATCCTAAGTTTATGTTTTTAATGCCCCCGTTTCCAACAAATACTCCTGTACTTGTTCTCTTGTATAAGAATTCAGATTTATAAAATAAATCTGGACGCCATGACTTTAGTGTCTCCTCCAATGTTTATTTTATAAATTATTCTAGAATTGATGAACGCTTGTGCAATACATTTTGCTCCATTCATCCATTCTTCTTTTGTTAATGAAAGTTCTATTTATTGAGGCATTAAAGAACCCAAAGGAAGGGGGTGACCCTTGCCTTCTAACAATCGCTTGATCCGTTTAAGAGACGAATTTCTTTATTTGGTCATAATCAAGGCTAGTTTGGTTATCCCAAATTTGAGTCAAAAGACTCCGGCACGCCTTAAAAAATTTACAGCCAAACAATTGGCACGCCCAGTGGGACCTCCCTGGAAGTGTTAAACATTAGAGGCACTAAAACTTTGAAGTGTTGAATTGTCAAAAATCAGAAATGCTGAAAAATAAAGATGCTGAAATTTCTAAATTTACATTCACGGTGATTCCACGTGATTTTCATGAAATTCATATAGCAATTTACCGTTTACACAATTCGGTCATAAACTTTTGTGATTCACTTGTCGCCTTAGCAACAAAATCAAATCAGCAATATATGGCTCGACCACAGTGTGGGGTTAATACACCAACACAAATTGCAGCACATGTTCGGCCTTACTATTATTTTATCAGCCATAACACTATCAACCGCAACACTATCAGTTGCTCCAGCAGCATATATATTATCGATATCAATCACAAACGGCGCCAACAATTCCACTATCACAAGTTCAACTACAAGGGCCAATGGAGTACCAAGCCAATTAACATTTAAGTCGAATCTAAAGTCGTTGATGTCAAGGTTCGATCATGAGCGGTCAGAGAAAAACCGGTTGATTTCTTATATCAATTAGGAACAGTTTAAGGAAGAGTGGTCTATTTTAGAGGTCGACCAGGAATGGTTAAAAGAAAATAGACCAATTTCCGTGGTCAATCGGAAATGGCCAGAAAAAAAGCGATCTATTTCAAAGTCCTTCGAAAATGGATAGAGGAACAACGGTCGATTTTAGAGGTTAATCAAAAACAAAATTTTGAAGAAATGGAGAAGCCACTGAAAGAAGCGCTGATAATTTTGATTAGTCAAAAGCATTGTCCCAAATACAAGAGGGACCAGAAGTTTGTAGTGGCTGAAGATGAAAATGAGAGAATCGGCCAACAGGGCAAATCCGAATCGACCCCTTGCCTTCCACCACCACCACCACACCACTGCCGCGTCCATTGCCTTCCCCCGCCACCACCGTCACATCCACTGCCTTTCACCACCACCATCACCACCATTACCTCTTTTACCTTCCAGCACCTACATCACTACCGCATTCCACCACCACACCACTGCCATTGCCATTGCCTTCCACCATCACCTCTTACCCTACTGACGCCTTCCACCAACAACACTGGCGTTCGGCACCACCATCATCGTCACCGCCTTACACCACTACCGCTTTCAACCTCCACCACAATCTTCACTGCCATCCAGCACCACCACCATTTCTTTTAAAAGAAATATAAAAGAATGTTATTTTGTTAATTTAATTTATTTGTTACTAAGAATGTATTTTGGAGATTTCAATTTAAATTCATTTCATTCTAAATTTTAAATTGATCCAACCACAAACTAGAATGATTATTAGCATTCCATTCCTACACATTTTATATTTGCAACCAAATAATAGAATGAGAATGACAATTACATTCCATTTCCACTCTCATTCCATTCCCACTTGCATTCTATTCCATTCCAACATACTAAACGCATCAAAAATGAATCTTCCACTCACTTTAACTACACGTTTGTACAATCACAGATTTTTAGTCGGTTGTTTTTTATTCATAAATATAAAGTTATTTTATTTTACTTTTTAAAAAAGGAAAAAAAAAAATGTTTACAAAATTATTTTGAATATGATAAATCTGCAATTAAATCCATCCACGGTTAAAAAAATGAAATTAAAAGATATTTTTCTCAATTATTGGTGATAGGTTGTTGACGTAAACTTTTTCCATGAGCTTATGCCCATTTTGGTAAAGCAATAGTCATATTTGCGATATTGCTAGCGGGTAATATGGCCCTATTGGCCTTTGCCATATGATTACAGCGATGTGTTGAAAGGTCTGTTTTATTTCCAGCAGTATGTTAAGATACATTGTCACACTAATGCATAAAATTATTGTGTATTTTGCACAACCCTTTTACACAATCATATCAAAATATTTGATCTCTCCTCCCTTTTTCTCATTTCATCAACTAATCAACCCTATTTTCCCACCTGCACTTCTCTCTCTTCTCTCTCATCAACAAATCTGGCTTTACGTCTCTCTCCGTTTCTCACTTTTCTAAGGTTCATCTCTCCCTCACCTTTTCTCTCTTTATATATATACACACGAACGCATGAGTTATTTAAAACTTGAAGATGAAAGATTGACATGGTAGACAAAGATGTAGAGGAGTATACAAAACTTATCAATAACAAGTGAATCATTGGCGAGAATGGTATGATATTAGCGGAAAGAGAAAGTGAAATTGATGGGGATTGGAGCGTACAGTTTAATCACGAAAAAGTATTGTAAACCAAGTAGGTTTATAAAAATTATGTGAGATCTTGGACATGATACGTAGTTGGTTGTTATTAATAAATACATTTTTACACAAAAGGTATAAAATAATGATTGGAGCTAAAAATTAGTAGTCCAAAATTTTTGTATAAATATACAATGACACATCATATTTATACCAAAAAAATAAAAAATTATAGACAACCAACGCTCTCATATGAATAAAGGTCAAAATTCATATTTTAATCTCCGAATTTATCTTGAGATTGTTCTGAATCCGAATTATATTTTATAATTATGATTCATATCAAACTCATATAATATAATATAAAGAGAAACGAATAGAATGAATATACTTAATCTGGATTAGGTCTTAGATAAAACTAAATATATTTACGAATGACTAACTTAATATCTCAATATAGGCAATTCAACTTAGGCTTTATTTGAATGTAATGATTTGGATGGATTTAGAAAGAAAAGTATAGATAGAAAAGTCAAAAAAGCCATTTTGTTGTAGCTAATGACCAATTAAGAAGAAAGTCAACCCCTTTCCTGCAATTCAAAAGCAGGCCTTAACCAATGTCTATCATTTCTTGTCCGGCTAATTTTCTTACGTTCACTAATTTGAATAAGTTGCACAAATTCTAGATAGAGATCCCAAAGTCCTAAATCCCACGTGTGCATATATATATAGATATATATATATATATATCAAGATATTAAGATGGTTATGGCCTACAAACATATATATATATATATATATATCAAGATATTAAGATGGTTATGGTCAATATATTAAGATGGTTATGGTCTACAAACATATATATATATATATATATATATATATATATATATATATGTTTGTAGGCCATAACCATCTTAATATCTTATCAAATGGAGACACAGTACCTGGGCATTCCACTAATTTTGGCCATATACATCTTCACCAAGCATTTCCTCCACAAGATCAAGAACCTCCCACCAAGCCCTTTCCCAACCCTACCCATTTTAGGCCACCTCCACCTCTTCAAGGAGCCCCTCCACCGCACTTTGTCCCATATATCGGCCCGTTACGGCCCAATCCTCCTCCTCCAGTTCGGCTCACGTCCGGTCCTCCTCATCTCCTCTCCGTCAGCCGCCGAGGAATGCCTAACCAAAAACGACGTCGTCTTCGCCAACCGCCCTCGGTTCCTCGCCGGAAAAATCCTCGGCTACAACTACAGCAACCTCTCATGGGCCCCTTACGGTGACCACTGGCGTAACCTCCGGCGAATCGCCTCCATAGAACTCCTTTCATCCCACCATCTCCAAATGATGGCCAGCGTACGCTCCGACGAGGTCCGGTTGATGACCAGTAAACTCTTCCGGGATTATGCAGACCAGATGGTGGACATGAAAACGGTATTGTTCGAGTTGATGCTTAATGTCATGATGAGGATGATAGCCGGGAAGAGGTACTACAGCGAGAAGGAGGCGGAGGTGGAGGAAGCGAGGCGGTTCCGGGAGATGGTGGTGGAGACGTTCCAGATGGCTGGCGCTACCAATATCGGAGACTTTTTGCCGGTGTTGAGATGGGTGGGAGTGAACGGATTGGAGAAAAGGTTGATTGTGTTGCAGAAAAAGAGAGATGGGTTCATACAGGAGTTAATAGAGGAGCATAGAAGAAGAATGAGGAGTGAGAGTTCGGAATCTGGAGGAGAGAGAAAGAAGACGATGATTGAAGTGCTGCTTTCACTGCAAGAAACTGAACCAGAGTATTACACAGATGAAATCATAAGAGGCATGATGCTGGTAAGAATCGATCTCTATGTACAATTATTATTATTTTGTTTTTCCAAGAAAAAAGTTTTTATAAGGTTTTTATTACTTCCATATGCTTTAAGTACGTAAACAGATCATAAATTCTTCAACGCTAATAAAACTTGATTTAGATTCTTTATTTTTCGTAGTTTATATATATAATGGCATAACATTTTTGTGAAACTAATAGACGATTCTTTTTAGTGCTTCAATGTAAACTGCGATGCCTTATATACATACTAATTCATAATTTAGGGAGGGATACTTACACTCCATTTTTCTATATGTTCCCACTCAAATTTAAAAATAATTGACTCTTCTAATCCTAACTTCACATTAAAAAAAAATTCTATTTTGAATAAATTATTTATTTTGACTGGACTCAAAAAATAAAGAAATACAAACAAAACAAAGAATCCGGAAAAAAAAAAAAAAAAAAATGTTATCTCAATTGAATAAATTTTTTTTTTTTTTTGAATGGACAAAAAATTAAAAATCTCTCCGTCCAATAAATTCTCCTTTGACAAAATTAAAATATATATATATATATATATAATACAAAAAAATAAAAAGAATTATTTTTGTTGAAAAAATTATCTTTTGGGGGTAAAAAAAGAAAAGGTTATTTCTATTGACCCAAAAGATAATTTTAATAATTATTTTTGTTGAAAATTTTATAAAAAAAGAAAAAAAAGAAAAGGTTATTTCTCTTGACCGCAAAAGATAATTTTAAATTAAGGTAAAAAAAAGAGTTAAAGTGTTTATAGTATAAAAAATAGTTACGATAGTTTAAAATAAGAGTTAGTGCAATAATGAGTTTAGAGAATTTTTTGTCATTTTATTTAGACAAAAAAAAAAAAAAATGCGCAGAAAAAGAAGTGAAGTACAGATAAAAAGTGAGTCATTCAATAGATAAAAATTATAGAAGAAAAAGTGAAGGTCCATCTAATTTGCTGATTATCTCTGCTTTTCAAAATGAGAGGTTAGGTTCAGAGTTCGGACTCTTTTAGGTGCATCTTGTGAGCATGTGCAAGCTTGGTGTTGGTTTGTTTTTTAGTTTTTTGGTTTTGTTTTTAGGTGAGTGGGGGGAAGGCAATTGTGTAGGATAAAAAAAATTAAAAATATAAAAAAGAGGATTTTTAAGCATCTAATTAATTCAAATTTTCAATTAATTAATTAATTTATTTATTTATTTTTAAGAAAACAACTAAAGGTGGACACTTATTGTGTTGATTTCAATTATATGTATGTAGGAACTATTAAGTGCTGGAACGGATACATCATCTGGGACCTTGGAATGGGCACTTTCAGTTTTATTGAACAACCCAGAAGCTCTAAAAAAGGCACAGACTGAAATTGATAATCAGGTTGGACAACATCGCCTGATCGATGAATCAGACTTATCTAAGCTTCCCTATCTCCACTGCATCATCAATGAGACACTGCGGATGTATCCAGCAGGCCCAATGCTTGTACCTCACGAGTCATCAGAGGAGTGTATGGTAGGCGGTTTTCGAATCCCACGTGGCACGATGCTATTGGTTAATTTGTGGGCCATACAACATGATCCCAAGCTTTGGGTAGACCCCGGAAAGTTTAAGCCGGAGAGGTTTCAATACTTGGAAAGTAGCAAGGATGGGTTCAAGTTATTTCCCTTTGGAACCGGAAGGAGAGGGTGTCCTGGGGAGGGCTTAGCCATGCGCATGGTTGGGTTGGCATTAGGGTCACTGGTTCAGTGCTTTGAGTGGGAAAGGGTTAGCCAAGAGATGGTTGACATGACCGAAGGGACCGGACTCACTTTGCCCAAGGCTCAACCCTTGTTGGCCAAGTGTCGACCACGTCCTATTATGTTGAATTTTCTTTCTCAGATTTGATCAAATCAATCAATTTAATTCAGCAATGTGTAGTAGATTAAGAATAAGTTTCTCATTAAGAGGTGGCTCAATATAATTTGACATTTAAATAATAATTAATAATGTATTATTATTCTTGATTTTTTTAAATGCAAAGTTACTAATTAGATTCTTGTAATCAAGGTTTTATTTTTGTGGAAATAGAATATAATTTTTTATTAAAATCTTCATTCTTATATTTGTTTCAATTTCTTCTTCTTCTTCTTCTACTTCCTCTTCTTCTTCTTTTTGTATTTGTTTTTGCATTTTTTATTTTTATTTTCTTTTTATGTTTTTCATAAAGAAATTTTTTATCACACATTTGACAATCATTATGAATCAAGTCCATAATCTATTTTTTCTTTCACTATTATATAATCTTCTAATTCTTTTAAATGACTTGATTGTTCTTGAATTTTCACTAATTATTTTTTATTTTTAATTTTTTTTATTATGTTATGTTTTAATTATAGTTGTAACAAATTTATCAAGAACTGTTTTTTAGATTGACTTAATTTTTCATATCCCAATTCATACTTTCTAGTAGGCAATAAATTCAATAATATAAATAAAAATGATCACAAACAAAATATATTGATAGCAAGGAATAATAAGATTACAAAATAATTTTAATTAGGAATGGTGGATTTGATAGTAGTATAGTTTATATAGGAGTCTATTAATTTATGAATTTTAATAATAGCATAAGAAAAAAATTAGTAGAAGAATATTTGGTAAATTATTTTATTAAACAATTACCTATTATATATTAATTGACAACATATTTTAGTTATTTTAAATGATTTAAAATACCTTAATCCCATAAAATATAGATTTGTCTGTCTTATATTGATATTTTCTAGTTCTATATCAAGCAATAGAAAATTCGAGAATGACCTTAATTGTTTAATGCTTAATTTCTATACATTATTGTTCGGAGAAGACCGAAGATTTTAACTTAGTGGTATCTCTTCTATCTCGCACAAAGTTAGAGACTATGTGAGGCAAAAATGGGTGTTTGACTTTCTTCCCAATGAAAAATAAATAAATATATATATATATATGGAGGAAAGCAGCAAAAAAAAATTTGTGCAAGTTTCTGTGTCATTTGTGCAAGTATGAACCTCAGAGCAGCCACTTTGTGAAATAAAAAAGGTTAAGTCTGTCTCAAGTCCTCCTCACTCCCCAAGACCATATGTTGTAGTGAGACCAGAATTGGGTAATTCTCTTTATTCTTGTTTTTAAAGATATACTACTGTCACTGCAGGGCTTTAGCATGAAAAAAGAAGAAAAAGAAAAATGAAAATAAATATTTAAAAAGCTGCATCAAATACTAACTACATATGGGAATCCTAGAGCCAAAGCAGCTCTGCACTGCAAATACTTGATCCATCAACTGACTGGAATAACAATTTAAGTTAAACAACCCCTCAATTTATGAAGATGGAACACTTTCACATATATGCCAAAGTTTTTCCTCCTAGAAAATTTGAAAAGAAATGAAAAAACGTGTGCAAAAAATAAGAATACCCCGTTAGAAAAACTTGAACAGGAATGCCAGTGACTGAACCGAACGACAGTTTAAGCTCATTCAGAATTTCAATTGTCCTGCAAATAACAAAGAAATAACGAAATCACAATTAGTACTTTATAAGATTAAGTTATGCAATGTGTGTGCCTGTGAGTGCTGTCATGAAAACATACTTATCACTGATCAAGAGTACAATAATTAGAGGAAGACAAGATGAAAAAAACTACTTGAAATATTGTAATGGAAGCACACTGCATAGCACCGGCACGCAGGCTATACACCAAAGTAGATGCACACAAAAATCAACATTCATGTTTCTTATTAGAATTTCAACCCAAGTCAATCACATCAAGAACATAAGGGTGAAATCGAACAAGAAATCACTAACTTAATCAGAGCTAAATGGACGTAAATAATGTTCTTTTTTACTGCAATGAAACAACACACCTAAATTAAACAAATGAGAACACTCATAATGTAGTTGCTAAACTGTCAAACTTAATCACACAGGATGTTGAGCAATCAGGAAACAAAAATGCCCACTCAATGAGCATGTCCAATGAAGATATTGGTATGTATAAGAGACAATTTTCTAAATTAGAAAAAAATAAAATAAAATAAAATAAATAAATAAATAAAATCTTGTTTGTGAAAAATGAGTAGCAGCATCAATAAGCCACCAACATTAAAAAAAAAAAAAAAAAAAAAAAAAAAAAAATGTTATCCCATACCCGATACAGGTCCGGACGAATCCAATGTGTCTAACACACCTTTTAGGTGTGTGTCTCCATGGAATGAAGGCACTCCCACTATATTTCCCATGATCTTATGTCCCCCGCCCCAAATTCTAATGAATAGGATTGATTGGGGAATGAAATAGATTTCTATAACAATATAACCAGAAATAGATGAAAAGGAAAAACCACGGCAAAAAAGATACAAGTTTGTCTGCCATAGTCATTGACAATACTTCTCCAACCTCACGTAGTTAATTTCATTTAGGAAATTTGTCGAAAATAAAGATATTGTGCAAAGTAACCACTGATTTGTAACACAAAGTAAAAAATATTCTGAAAAAGGAAAAAAGCAACTAAAGATTTGTGTGAACATGTTAAAAAACAAAACAAAAATAATGAGGAACAGGTTATACAGTGTGGAGAGAAAAATCTTCCCTCCAATAAGAGTCGGCCACGTCATGAAAGTAAGTCAGAATCCCAATTGATCTCCAAAAAAGCCCATTAAAGCCCGATCTTAGTAAAGCCCAAATAAAGTTGCCATCGACCCAAGGTTATTAAGATTAACCTCTTGGCCTGTAATAAATTCGTAGGCTGACCCATTCACATCCTAATCCAAGTCCAGTTTAAATTAATCAAAGTCTATTTACTTAAGGATTCTTCATATAAGGAAGTTCTGCATGGGAAAAGTCTTGCATGGAAGGAATTGCAAATGGAAAGAACTTTGTAGGTAAAGAATTGTATATGGAATGAATTAGAGGACAAGCAGGGCGAGTCCTTTCATAATTCCATCATCTTTTTGTATATATATAAATAGAGGCACAGACCTCCAATAAAGATCATCAAGCATTATAAATTTTTCTCTGAATTATTCTTGTTAATTGTTCTTTTATTTTGAGTGAGTTGTATTTATTCTTTTGGCTTTTTAGTTAAACGAATTATCTGCATCTACATTTTGGCGCCTTCTGTGGAAAACTTATAGAAATATATTCCCACGAGTGAATTGAAATCTTTTATGCTACTACGATCCGGGATGTCAATTGGAGGAGCCGCAGCCGTAGCTTATCAACAGATGGAACTAATGCAAAAGATGTGGGAAGAGTTTTTGTAGCAGTTCAAGACCCTCCGTCAAGTGAATGAGGCTAATACGGCTTAGATTGCATTGCTTCAGCAAAAAAAACGATGCTCTCTAGATAGCTATGGCACAGATAACATCACAACCACCACCATGCAATATAACGAGAGCTCCCCTAACCACAATATTCCTCCTGTTGACGAAGCTCAAGCCAACGAGAGTCGGCAGGAGCAGAGGACGAGAACTAAAGCTGCAACCGTAAACTCACAGTGTGGACAAATGGCGTTCAAGATGGTGTCCAGGAGGTCTTTGACGAGAAGAAGCTCCTGAGGATTCAAACGCCCGCTGAGATGGCCAGGGAGTATAAGGCCTCTCTGGTGAAAACTCAATTCACTGATCAGATATACTACGTCGACAGACCTAAAAAATTCACCATGCCGGCCTTCACTCAGTTCGATGGCATAGGAGATCCTTCCCGTCACCTCGATCACTATTCTCAGAAGATGACTCTGGATAACCAGAACAACGCGTTCATGTGCAAAGTTTTCAAAACTAGTCTAACAGGAGCTGCACTGGAATAGTTTAAGAATAGGCCACACAAGTCCATCCCGAACTATGAAACCCTGTGCGCCATATTCCTAGCATAATATTACGAAAATAAGAAGCAGAAAAAGACTATTGCTAATCTCTTCACTATAAGGCAGAAGAGAGGAGAAACGTTACAGGATTTCCTGTCCAGATACAATATGGAGGCTTCAGAGATAGCAGATTGTCACCTTGAGACTGTTGTAGAAGCATTTAAGATCGGCATGATCCAAAAGACTAAGTTCCATACCTCTCTAGTCAAATACTCCCTCCAGATATGCAGACTCTTAATGCCAGGGCACAAATTTACATTTGGCTTGAAGAGAATGTAGCTCACCGAGCACAACATGCCACCGTCGTTACGGTAAAAAATAAGCCTCGGGAAAAAGCTTCGAGTTTAAAAAGTCAAAGAAATCAGCATGCCTCAGCACCAATTGCTCAAATACCTAAGAAAAGACAGAAGCCGAGGAAAGACTAACACCTCTCCCAACCACATTGGCTCGATTATTCCAGGAAAACAAAATAAGATTCACGGTCTCTCAACCAATACGGCAACCCCTAGAGCAAAGGGACAAAAGCAAACACTACACATACCATAGGGATTATGGGCATACAACCAATGACTGCAGATCCCTTCGGCGACAGGTGAAAAACATGATAGGCAAAGGAGACCTAGTAGATTATCTCGGGCCGAAGGAGCATACAAGGCCGAGGGAAGTTAATCCTCAAAAGGTAGAAGGTAATCAAGTGAAGGTCATTCATACAATCAATGGAAAATCAGAGGAAGACCAAATGTCAAAAGCGGTGTACCGCTCCAGATTGAGGGTTATCCATAAGCTAAGGAAGTTATCCTCAGTAAATACCATCACTTCAGGCAGTATTAGTATCGGATTCGGAAATGGAGATTTATCCAGAGTGCAGCTTCCCCACGTAGATCCACCCGTTATTAGTCTTCTAGTAGCAAACTGCATAATTAAAAGAGTCTTGGTAGACCCTAGCAGCAGTGCCAATATTATAACTAAGGCAGCCTTTGAGCAGTTAGAGGTCCCATCGTCATCAATTCGAGCTACATCTAGTCCCTTGATGGAGTTCGATGGAACGAAAGTGGACCCTATTGGGGTAATCAATTTGACAGTCACTACTACAAAAAGGACATTAAAAGAAAAATTCGTTTTGACAGAAATTC